AGCATCCTCAACCCCCAAGCCCAGTGCTTGGCATACCACAGGGGCACAACAAATACTAAAGAGGAAACGGCTATAAAGGTGCCTATGTGCTGACTAGTCATGGCCAGAGCCTCTCCATGCCACGATTAAGGTTTTGAAGAATTTTAAAAGAGATTTTGAAGGCCATACTTAGGTCATGAAAGGAATCTTAATGAATGCAGAACATGTGGCATAATGGCTGTCCTAGAAAGGGTTAATAATATCTAATTTATCTGGTAGCTATATATCACCTAACAGGTTACAACATGGCCTCACAGTTACCTGATTTGGCTTCAGTAGTCCTGAGATATGACTATTAAAGACAAGTGGAATGATGCTTCCATAGCAATGAAGTGATAAGACTAAGATTCACATGTGTTTTCTGCCTGGCAGTCATGAGCCTTTCACGTCTCTTCCTAGTCTCCATAAAATGTAGTGGTCACCTTGCATTTGGGAGGTGGCTGACACTAAAATTAGAGGGGGCAGTCAAAGGTTTTAGAGAGCAGCCTACTCAGTCATCCCATGGACATCTCTTATTGCTCTTGACAGCCAGATGATGGGAATAAGGGAGGCTGAGCTGGTCTGGCTACACAACACCAAATGGGTGAAGAGACTTTTTAATAGCTTTCTCTTTCCAGTCATTGCCCAGGACATTACACAAAAACTAGCTTCTTCCTGCATCATAAAAGTTTGCTCAGGGTTGAAACTGTTGAACATTTTCCCAGAAAGTAGACCAAAAAAACCCCTGTGCTGGGTCAGTGGTCAAAGACATTTATAAGTTAGTACCAGAATGACCCCTAGTCAGTGTTTGCTAGTGACTTGGTTGGTCTGTTTGATTTCAGGGAAAATAAACAAAAGACCAGCAGCCAAATATTTGCTTAAGACCCAGGTTCAGTTGGACAACAAGCCTGTGAGGAGTGTGATTGCTCCCCTTCCCTTTCTGTCAAACATACCCCTGTGCAGCTCGAAAGACCCAGAGCAAATGCCACCTTTCTTGACAGTCCCGTTCCATAGCACCCTGTGCTTACTCATCTCAGAGCCCTTATTGTGCTGAATGTTAACAGTTTGGCTGTCGGGTTCCCCCAGTGACTCAGAGTCCTTTAAGAACAGGGCTATGACTTTTATTTCTGTTTGAAAGAAAAATATTGGCTAGCAGAGATGAGTCCCAAAAGCCCATAGTACAGTCTAGTAACTTTCAAACTTTTTTTCATCACAACCTACAGTAATAAATATATTGTATATCATGATCTATTAACAAAATATACACATAAATGTAATTTTCTAATACTTAACAAAATAATAACATACAAAGTGCCATTATCTGGAATTTTGTCTTCTGGTTTATTCTTTATTATATTTCCAAATGTTTATTGTGGTGCACTAAATTGATTTTATGATATGCTATTAAATGCCAACTTGCAGTTTAAAAAATATTAGTGCAGTTGGCTTCATCTGCTCCCTCCTCCTCTCTCCCCCCTATTCTTATTTCTGATGGAAGTGGGGGCTTCCACTCTCTGAGTCTACCCTTCTCTCCTCTCCCTTGCTGGCAACAGTTTTACACTGAATGAAAAGCTTTCCTTAGCCCTTCGATAACCAGAAGAGGGTGAACATGGCTACTGTTGAAGACTTTCATTCCTTTATTTGTCTGTTTATGCAACGAGGAATTTTTTTTTCCTTCCACAGTTTAGTTTTATTTTTCTTCCCTATTTTTTTTTTTTTACTTTTTTCCTTCTGTTAAGCTTTCTTTTTTTTTAATCATTTACCTTTTTTTTATTTATTTTTTCAAATACATTTGTCTCTGCCTACCCCCCACCACTTTCCCTTGCCCCCTCCCTTCTTCCCTCCCTCAGCTCTTCTCCTTTGGTTTTGTCCATGAGTCCTGGCTATATGTTCCTTGACTTGCCCTTTCCCTTCCTTTTCCCCCCTCCCCCTCCCTCCTTCCCTCTTGTCTCTATTGGTTTCTTTTCCTTTCAGTGTTTGCTGGTCTTATTTTCCTTGCATCTTTGTATTGTTGGTTAGGTTCCACTTATAGGTGAGATCATATGGTATTTGTCTTTCGCTCCCTGGCTTATTTCGCTTAGCATAATGCTCTCCAGTTCCATCCATGCTGTCTAGAAGTTTAGTAGTTCTATTTTTCTTTCTGCTGTGTAGTATTCCATTGTGTATATGTACCATTGTTTTTTGATCCAATCATCTACTGATGGGCATTTAGGTTGCTTCCAACACTTGGCTATTGTAAATTGTGCTGCTATGAACATTGGTGTGCATAGGTTCTTTTGTATTGACGTTTTGGTATTCTTAGGATATAGTCCCAGCAGAGGAATCACTGGATCAAAAGGCAGTTCCATTTTCAGCTTTCTGAGGAAATTCCACACTGCTTTCCACAGTGGCTGCACCAGTCTGCATTCCCACCAACAGTGTACTAGGGTTCCCTTTTCTCCACAGCCTCGCCAGCACCTGTTGTTTGTTGATCTGTTTGTGATGGTCACTCTGACTGGTGTGAGATGGTACCTCATGGTGGTTTGGATCTGCATTTCTCTGATGGCTAGTGATGCCGAGCATCCTTTCAAATATCTCTGGGCCCTCTGTATCTCCTCCTTGGAAAAGCGCCTGCCCAGGTCCTTTGCCCATTTTTTGATTGTATCATTTGTCGTCTTGGAGTGGAGTCGAGTGAGTTCTTTACATATCTTGGAGATCAAACCTCTATCTGATGTATCATTAGTGAATATATTTTCCCATAGGGTTGGCTCCCTTTTCATTTTGCTAATGTTTTCTTTTGCCATGCAAAACCTTCTTATTTTGATGAGGTCCCACGTGTTTATTCTTTCCTTTATGTCCCTTGCAGCAAGGAATTTAAATTGAGTTAAGCCTTTCAAAACAGGAAGCTTTGCCAAAGTATTTCCTTTTGTGCACTCCACTTATGAGACTGCTAGGGAAAGGGGAAAGGAACTCACCCTGTTTTTCTTTAACAAAAAGGAGGAGGAAGGAGATGTGATTAAGAGATGCTGAAGGGAAAAGAGTGGTGGAGCATGGATAGGACATGGAGAAATCAATGCTCTGCTATTCCCCTTTCAGCTCCTTGGACTAGGTTTGCACTCTTACATGTAGGATTGAGTGTTAGAGACTAACCAGAATGTCCATGAGAACCCTTATACAACTTTGCATGCAAACAAGGCTGCTTCTGGGTCTAGATCAAGAATCAGTAAACTACAATCCTTGTACCAAAGGCCAAATCCACTCATTGACCTCTTTTTGTAAATAAAGTTTTACTGGAACACAACCACACCCATTCATTTTCATATTGCCTAGGGCCACTTTCAGTACAACTGCAGACTGGAGTACTTTCAATCAAGACCATAAGACCTGCAATATTTACTATATGGTCCTTTGCAGAAAAAGTTCGCCAACCCTTGGTATAGACACAGTGTTTCCTACCTCTCTGGGAAGACACCCACATAGCTCTGAGGCAGCAACAGAGAACCTTGGGCATGCTCAGTATCTTCCTCAAAGTAGCCCTTGTCATCCCATCCCCAGCATTTCAGGCTGCAGTACTGCCTTTGGAAGCCTGGAAACACTTAGGGTGCTACTGTGACTGCAAAGATGAGGACCCTTGAGCCTACTGACACTGAGATTTTATTTGACTTTTCAGTGCCTGGTGTAGGAAACGTATGTGGAGGATGCTAAATAAATGTTTGCTGACTATGAAATGAGAAAGGAACTGGTGGTATGTGGTATAGAAACTGAGATTTCCCAGAGTCCCTCTGAAAGGCAATGCCAGTCAAGGACCGGGATGCCTGCAGCCCAGAACTGAAATCGTCTCTCCTACTTGGAGAACATGACATCTTTTCTCAGCTGCTTTGACAGCTAACACCAAAGATGAAGATTATGATAATGACTATAGCTAACAATAAATAAATATTATGTGCTTACCAAGTGCTAAGGATTACTCTAGGTCCTTTTTAGATAGTAATTTATTTTTATTCTCTTTACTAGAAGTTCTCATTTAATTTCATTCTATAGATAAGGAAACTGAACCACAGAGAGGCTACATAACCTGCCCAAGGCTAGTAAGTGGAGAGCCAGAATTTGAAAATAGGATGATCTTTGTAGCTGAAAAAAAAAATGGATTGCTAGGATGACAGAGATGCTGGCTCATTGGTTGGATCCAGTAGGCTTTCTTTTTTCTTTTCACTGTCATCTAAGAATTTATTCATTCATTTAACAGACCTTCAAGGACGTGCCCTGTGTCTTTCTGTTTTGTCTGTAACTGGTCTAGAGGTGGGCATGTTACTCAGTTCTAGCCAACAGGATGTAAGAAGCCTGCAGGGGCCTACTGAAAAACATTTCCAACCATGAACATCCCACTCACGTGTGATGGCAGAGGGGAAAGACAGATGTTGCATGGATGCAATGCTTGATGCTACTGTTGAGTACCATTTCCTCCCAGAAGTACGCACCCTTGAATTTCTTATTAGTGAGATTAATAACCCCCTCCTGTCTAAACCATTTTTGTCAGACATTCTCCACTCCATTATCCTGTTATATTTCCTTAGTAGATCTCATCACTATCAGAAGGAGCTTATTTATTGATTACCTTCCTTATCTGCCTATACCCCCTACTCCCTTTTCTAGAACATAACAGGGCTCTTACCTCCTCTATTCACTGGTCTGTCCCCAGGCCTTGACTACGTCTGGCCAAATTGTTGGGGAATCTAAATACAAATCAGGGGTTCACAATTCAGTGGAGAAACAGACTAATAAAGTGATACAATATAACAAATGCCATCCTAGAAGTAAACATTACAGAAGATGAGGTCTGTGTAGGAACTGTATAAAGCTGTTGCAGCAGACCTGCTTTTAGGCTCACTCCCGCCCCTTCCCCCTGCCCCCAACAACTATCATTTCAAGCTTGTTTTAAAAAGAGATCACTTGGGTTTTTTTGTTTGTTTGTTTATATAACTTTATTTACTTAATCTCATGTCCTCTCTTGTAAAATCTGTCTTCAGTGTAGCTGATTTTAACTGACAGTCTGCCCCAAGTTCTCTGGACTGAAACATAGAGTAGGGCTGTATTTGAATTTACCTATAGCCTTTATGTCAGATCACAGCAAATGTGTTATTTGTTCTTAACTTTCAAGGGCACTACACTGAATTCAAAGTGTTTTGAAGGAAATATTCAATTCAAGGAACTGTGTTTTCAGTAATGGAAATAAGGCTGGAGATCACTTGTTTTTAAAAGAGCCTTAAACCAGAAAATCCTATTTTAAAGGAATATTTGTGTTTTTGTTTACAGTTATGCAAAAATAAATAAAGAAGGGCTGTTGCTTTGGGAGGTAACCAAATATGGATGTTTTGGGAGAAGCTGTGGCCTTTGCTCTGGGTTGGTGAGGTCTATGGCACATGTTTGAGAGAATCCTGTTTCTAAAGATTTGGTTGCTTTTTTGTGGCCTGGGTGACTTTGGTGCTGGCTCCTGTGGAGCTAATTGTGATCTTCTGGGGGCATTTTCTTCCAGAAAGGATGTGTAGGCCCAATCATCACCACCTGCTGAAGGAATAGAGCTGGACTTGACTTTCTTGATCCAGGACTAGCCTGTAAGTGCCCTTGGGGATACAATCTCTTGAATTGAAATCAGATTAGAATATTGTGTTTTCATGTGAATGTCCTATGAGCTTGAGCCATTGAAAATATCCCAATACTGGACCATACTGTGTTATGACACTATTGTCCTAAACAGTCACATAAATAAAAACATACTAATGTTGGACCCTTGTGCTCTGATGTGATTGTCCTTGAATGGCGGGGGTGGGGGGGTTAGGAGGAAGAACTCTCTCCTGTGGGAAGCAGAAAGGTCCACAATCAGTAATCCTAGGAAAAAGGGAATCTTGGGATATAAAAGGATGAGGAGGGAAATCTCTCTCTTGTTTATAGTAGGGGGTCCCCACACTTTTTCTGCAATGATCCAGATAATAGGTAGTCCGGGCTGTGCTAAATGTCAACTGAGCTCAAAAGAGTTAGGAGCTTTGGCTAGAAATAAATGACAAAGATTTATTCAATGGTCTCAGGGTTTGCAAACCAGAAACACAACTAGGTAATGTCTAGAGTATTCTGAAAGGGAAAGAATAGCTGAGGGTTCTTACAGTAAAAATTATATTCTTGAGGAAAATCAGTTCTACATTCTTAGCCCCCAGATTGGTTCAAGATGATAGTCATCATATGTGTGGTGCTAATTATCAGATGCCCAGTGGCATAGACATTGGAACATTTTCTTCTTAAGGTCATTCATGGTTACCTGGAGGTATGATGTATGTCCAGTCATTTACACACAATACAGTGTGATGTGCACCAAGGTATTGACACAGAACTGGAAAGTTCAAAAGTTTAAGTTCCCAGAGTCATTTAAAACAAAAGTAATTATTACCCTATGCTTCAGCTGACTTGAAGTTAATAATTTAGCAGCTTGATTATAGTGACTCCATTTTATTTCTTCACTCTGTTTCTCAGAGGCCATGCATACAGCTGCTGTCAGAAGTACTCAACTCTGTCATTACAGTACAAAAACAGCCACAGACAAAATGTAAATGCATAGTCATGGCTATGTCTCAGTAAAATTTTACAAAGCAGGCAGCAGGCCAGATGTGGCTAATGGGCCACAGTTTGTATACCTTTGTTTTAGAGCATCATGGATGATGGTGCCTGGGAACCAGAGAACATAGGCATGGCATGAGGGAATAGGTTTCCCTCCTCACCCTTTCTCATCCCAAGATACTTGGCCAAGACCTATGCCAATAGGATACCTTCCATACCCTCTCAGGATGTGGGCTCTGAAGACAGTTTCTAATTGCAGCTGTAAAATAGTGTCTGTTATCTTTCTTGCTAACCCCTAAATGTCTCCTCAGGTAGAAGTCACAGCTTTGCTGAGGTATGTCAAGGGAAGTAAGAGAAGGGCCTGACTCATCCTTGGGACACAGGGGCAAAGGGAACAACTGTTCTCTGACCCCAGAGATAGTGGTGGTTCCTGTGGACCCCAGCAGAGGATAAGGTCCCTAGAGGAGGCAAAAGCTGAAGAGGAGGAGAAGCCTGTTTGTGGGGGAGAAGAAGGCAGACGGCCCCCAGGGACATGAATACCAAATAACTTCAGACATTTCTCTATAGCGATGTGTAAGCTTAAGCCATAACAAGAATGCTTAAGCAAAGTGTATTTTCTTTTATAATCACAAATAGTGAAGACTGGACACAGAGTAGGTGGTCAACCAATTACTCCTAGGTTGACTGACAGCTACAGTGCTGTCCTAGACAAGCCATCAGGGCCCCAGCCATTAGCCTCTACTCAACAAGAGTTAGAACCAAGGACTGAAGTCAACTGGGTTAGTCCTATGAATTGCCTTAATTGTGATCACAAAGTGTCATGCAGAGCTGCTCAGCTTCTGTCCCACCAGGAAGAAAATTCCTTCATTGTTGGCTGTCGTGGGAGAATAACTTTGAGAGATCACCTCAAACTGCTTGATGGTGTAGCCAGCCTCTCTCACAGCAGCCTCTATTGCCTCCTGGCCCAGGCTGAGGCTGGAGAACCTCTGCTCACCAACCACGTAGTAGCTACTCTTCAGGGCATCCATGATCACCAGGTAGCCCCCTGGCTTCAGCAGGCCACTGAGGTTCCTGAGGGCTGTGCAGTAGGCAGAAAGGTCTGGGCAGGCAGCATGCAGGCACAATGTGCTGAGCAGGCAATCAGCTGGGGGCAGGGAGACAGCTCCCAGAGGCTGGCTCTGGGTCACATCACACTTCAGGACCTGCTTGATTGTCTTCCTCAACTTCTCCTCCTTCTCTTGCCCTTTCATTCTGAAACACAAAAACCAACACACACTGTGCTACCTGACTCATGGGGACCAAAGATCTCTTTGCTCAGGCTGAAAATCACAGTGTTGTGCCAAATGTTATATCTTTAGAGCCATCCCAGTTGTAAAAGCAGAGAAAAAAGAAATGGGAAACCATTTTTGTATCTGAAAGTGATCACACTACCCTGTGCTCAGTTGAATCTTTTTATATCAAAATGATAATAAAAATACCTGCCCTGGCTGGTTAGAGCATCGTCCTTATATGCGAAGATTTGCAGGTTCAATTCCCCCTTCAGGGCACATACAAGAATCAACCAATGGACTTCCAGTCAAGATAGAAGTGTAGATAGACATGCTTCGCCTCCTTGTACAACCATAAGAAGGATTACAACTAATTTCAAAATTAAAAACACCCAGAACTGCCAGAAAATTGAACACTACAGAAGTTAGAAAACCAAGGATTTAAAAAAGCTATATTCATCCAGACAGGTAGGAGGGGCTGATCCAGGGAGCTGGGTGGAAAGGATGTGGCCAGATAGGGTGAAGCGGCAGCAGCGGCAGCAGGCAGTCCCACATTCACATGTGGTGGATAAAAATCAGGAGGATACGTTGTAAGTGAGAAATTTTGGCACTAGGCCAGACTGTGCAGCCCAGCGTTCCAGCACCAGGGAAATAAAGCCTCACAACTTCTGGCTGCAAAAACCAGTGGTGGTCAGGACAGTGGAAGAAACTGCCAGTTTCTCAGGAGAGCCCAGAATGCAGGAAGACCCACCCACTCTGGGAGACACAACCACAGCAGCAGCTGGAGGGGTGCCAGTCACATATGGAAAGTGGGTGAAGTGACTAGAAATGGGGAAAGTGTCAGACAAGCCCCCAGAAGCCAGCCAACAGTGGCGTTGTCCCCTCTTCTATCCCCTCCCACACATGGACCCACAAAGTGATGAAGCTGGCTGCCTGCTCTGGTAAATACCCAAGGCTCCGCCCCATGCAACTTAACAGATGTGCTAAGACAGGGAGTCAAAGTGGCTCTACCAAGTACACAGACACAGGGAGGCTACCAAATTGAGGAGACAAAGAAATATGGCCCAAATGAAGGAACAGAACAGAACCCCAGAAAAAGAAATAAGTGATGCAGAGATAGCCAAACTATCAATGCAGAGTTCAAAACCCTGGTGATCAAAATGCTCAGAGATCTCATTGAATATGGCAAAAGCATAAGGTAAGAAAAGAAGGCTATACTAAGTGAAATAAAGAAAGATCCACAGCACACCAACAGTGAAGGGAAGGAAGCCAGGATTCAAATCAATGATTTGGAACATAAGGAAGAAATAAACATTCTACCAAACAAAAATGAAGAAACAAGAATTCAAAAAGCTAAGGTGAGTTTAAGAAGACTCTGGGACATCTCCAAAAGGGCCAACATCCGAATCATAGGGATGCCAGAAGGAGAAGAGGAAGAGCAAGAAACTGAAAACTTATTTGAAAAAATAATGAAAGAAAACTTCCCCAATTTACTGAATGACATAGACATACAAGTCCAGGAGGCGCAGAGAATCCCAAACGAGTTGGACCTAAAGAGGATCACACCAAGAAACATTATAATTAAAGTGCCAAAGGATACAGATAAGGAGAGAATCTTAAAAGCAGTGAGAGAAAGGCAGAGAGTCACTTACAAGGGAGTTCCCATAAGACTATCAGCTGATTTCTCAACAGAAACTTTGCAGGCAAGAAGGAACTAACAACAAGTATTCAAAGTGGTGAAAAGCAAGGACCTACAACCAAGATTACTCTATCCAACAAAGCTCTCATTTAGAATGGAAGGGCAGATAAACTGCTTCCCAGACAAGATAAAGCTAAAGGAGTTCATCATCACCAAACCCTTATTATATGAAATGTTAAAGGGTCTGATTCAAGAAAAAGAAGATCAAAACTATGAACATTAAAATGACAACAAACTCACAACTATCAACAACCTAATCTAAAAAACAAAAACTAAGCAAACAACTAGAACAGGAACAGAATCATAGATATGGAGATCATCTGGAAGGATATCAGCTGGGAGGGGGAAGGGAGAGGGTGGGAGAAAAGGTATAGGGATTTAGAAACATAATTGGGTATATACAAAATAGACAAAGGGATGTTAAGAACAGTATAGGAAATTGAGGAGCAAAAAACCTTATATGCATGACCCATGGATATAAAAAGAATCAACCAATGAATGCATAAATAAGTGGGATAACAAACTGATATTTCTCTTTCTCCCTTCCTCTCTCTCTCTCTCTAAAATCAATAAAAAATAATATTAAGAGTATCTGGCAGGGAAGAGGAGTGGGGAGAGTTGGAAGAGGGTATAAGGAGGATAAATGGTAATGAAAAAATATAATAAAAAATACCTAGCTACCTGCTTCTACACTGGACTGCTCCCATGAACTTATTCTTCCTCCATTGCTTAAAATAGCACCTGGCTCATTATTTATTTATTTATTATTACATTATTACCCTTGTCCACTCTACCAAATTGCAAGGTAGTGGCCATTTGACCCATACATATCAGGTAATAATGGATTTTAAATGCTGAAATGGTATTTTTGTTTTAGCTGCCAGTAAATGAAGGGAGCAGGGTCATCACATACATTTTTAGAAACTGTTGATCACTATAACATGGTTTTGGCCAGGGCCTCTCTAGAAAGAATAAAACCAGTTTCCACTCTCAGGCTCTAAAATGTATTGCAGTAGAGTGCGTGTTTTCTGAAGGTGATCATTTTCTTGGTAACCTTGCAAAGAATGCTGTCCTCTATGCCAAATCAACAGGATGTCTTGAGAGGAAATCAGTTAATGAAAGGATCAAAGAAGGCAAGGGCAGGAGATGGAATAGAGTGCCTTTGATCCTTTTGGAATTTGTTAGGGGAGGAATGAAGGAATAGATTGACAAATTACACAAACACATAGAATGCACAAGAGAAACTGGAGAAACAGACAAAGGAGAAAGAAACAGTATGGAATCAGAGAGGTAAGAAGAAGGGAAGAAATGAGTGTACAAAGTACCCATAAGGTCTTAGAGCCCAATAATAGAAGTAATGATTTGGCATCGAGCCTTTTGAGGAAGTTAATAAACAAAGCACCAGGATGCAAATTGAGGCTTACATTCAGAGAATACATAGTCCCTTGGCTCCAGGAGAAGACAATCACTTGGGCAACAAGGCTTGATGGAGAGAGCAGAGGATGGCCCAACATCAGAGTAGGTGAGAGCCTTACACTGGTACCATTTCTGGTCATGATGAAAAGTCAATGGTCTAAATAAAGCTTGAAGATTTACCTACAGGTGGAATGATCTGAGAAAATAGCAATTGTAGATATCTTATTTAAATATTTAGTTAAAATCTTAAGACTACAGCATATAATCTATAATCAGTTTTTACAACATCCTTTATGTTTATTATAATTTTATATTTAAGAAGCTTAGCAATAAACATATATGAAACGATGCTCAACATCCTTGGCAATCAGAGAAATTTAAATCAAATTCTGAGATACCACTTCACATACACTAAGATGTCTACAATTTAAAAAAATAACAAATGTTAACAAGGAAGTGAAGAAAGTAGAACCAACACACACTGCTGGTGAGAATGGAAAATGGTCCAACTACTTTGGAAAACAGTCCGGAAGTTCCTCAAAAGGTTAAACATAGAATTAGCACATGATCAAGGAGTTCCACTCATAGGTTTTTACCCAAGAGAAATGAAAACATAGTCACACAAATACTTGTACATAAGTGTGTATAGCAGCACTACTCACAACAGTCAAAAGATAGGGGAAAAAAACCAAATGTTCATCAACTTATAAACAGATAAATACAATATGGTATATCTATACAATGGACAATTATTCAGTAACAAAAAAAGAATAAACAATTGATGTATGCTACAATATGGAAGAACCTTAAAAACCTGATGTTAAGTGAAAGAATCCAACACAAAATGTCACATATTGCATGGTTTCATTTACAGGAAATGTCCAGAAAAGGCAAAGCTATAGAGACTGAAAGCAGACCAGTGGTGGCCAGGCGCTGGGAGTATGGGGAAAATGGGAGAGACTGCTAATGGGCACAGGGTTTGTGTGGGGAGTTTTGAAAATGTCCTCAGATTGTGTTAGGAATTGAACAACTCTATCACTATACTAATAACTATTGAATTGCATGCTTTGAATGGGTGAATTTTATGTTTTGTGAATTTTATCCCAGTAAAGCTATTATATATATATGAGAGAGAGAGAGAGGAGAAGAGAGAGAGAGAGGAAGTGAGAAAGAGAGAGGAAGAGAGAGAAAGCTTAGCAAGGTATTGATTGGTTTCAGAGACTCCCTACCAACCAACAAACTGGTATATACAAGGAATAATCACTTTTGATTGGCTTTACCTGCTCTCCTATCATGGGTAACAATGGTAGTAGGTTCACCAATCTGTCCTGCTTGGCCTGGATTTTCTGGCTTTCTCACCGAAAATCCCATATCCTGGGAACCCCAGGCATTCCTACCAACCAGCGGGCCCTGGCATACCTGTCAGGAAGCTCTGTTCTAGACACCAGTGCCTCTCACACTGTAAAATGCATATAGTTCCCTGCAGAGCTTGTTAAAATGCAGATTCTGGTTTTAGGTAGGGAGTGGGGACCAAGAGTCTACATTTCTAACAAGCTCCCAGATGATGTGGAAGCTGATAGGCTGGGCACCACAAAGTGGGAAAGTTAGTCATTCTAAATGTAGGGAAATCAAGCGTAAAGCTGCCACCCAGCCTGACAGAACATGGATAATGTATTTGACAGTACATATTAAGAATAAAAAAATAATAATTCAACATTATGAAAATCAGTGTGAAACATGAATTAGAATAGGTAAATTAATCTAGGATAGAAAAATTTCAAATAACCAATTGTTGCATATGGATAACTTAAATGTACACAAAAAGCTAAAGAAGTGACAACATAGTGTTTGTTAATGTGTTTAAAGAT